GCCTCCCTAGGGAAGCGATACACCATGAGTGTCCGTGTGGCAAGCTGTGGATCGTTGTAGTCTGTTGGGGGATAGGAGGAACCGCTGGCACCCGAAGTAGCCCTGGTCCTGCCCCTAGGGGATTGGAAGCTACTACTGCTGGTCGCAGCTACTGTGGAACGCCTCGTCGGCATCAACATACCACCGCCACCTTCACCCATCCTAGAGGCAGGAGCACTTGGACGACGATTTGACCTCAACCGCATCCTGTCATCATCGCCTTCCGATAAGGTCTCCGAGTCGGCGCTATCGGGGCGTATAGGAGAGGTAGTCATTGCCACAGTGGCCCTTCTCGGGGGCACCACAAAGGACGGTGGGACTCCGCTCGCTTCCCTTTCCCCTACGGGATCTTCCTGATGTTGGTACACCCCCTCGACTGAGCCTCCAACTGATGACATTAAACAGATTAGAAAGAGTTAAGAAAGCCGGAAAAAGCATCATCGACTATCACCAAACCACCCAAGACCATCCATCACCAAGGAAACCAGCGGCGCACGAGAATCTTTGTGCATGCGTGCAAATGTTTGAAACGCATGGCTGATCGCAGACAGCGCACCTCGTGTGAAGGAGATGGCATACACCACTCAAGGGTATGAATATCATCATACCTTGGCAGTTAACATAACTAACCACACATACATTCCGTAACGACATCCCGTGACGCAGCCGACACGCATGCGTTACATAGCATTTGCACGCATGCACAAAACTGAAGTTGACGACAGTACCCATCCAGCACAGCTCTTAGCACCAGTCGGGAGCTTTTGGTGTTTGGGGGGACGATGAGGAGTTTATGAAACAGAGGGGGTGCAGCTGATGACGACCAAGGGCCTCACACAAACGGCCCAACACGCCTTGCACGCATGCACACACCTGATCCTCTCACCACCAACCCTTCCCCGTGGCGCAATAGGAAGGCCAGCGTCCCGAGGTGCCCTCAGTAGAAAGAGCTATGATCGAGTAGAAAATAATTGCTCCTTGTGAACAGCAGCACACTAGCTCTTAGAGGAACCCGGGAACTCCATAATAGCACCAGCGAGGACTCCATACATGCCCCCCAAGTAGCCTCTAGTAGCAGCAAGAGACTCCTCCAAGCAGTTGGCTCAGATCACCTATACACCCTCAGTAGAGTGTCGTCAAGTACGAGACAATGCCACAAGTTCTTGCCCATGAGACTGGCGCATGCTCAACCTCGCACACCCCCATCTACTTCCATACCGCTCGGGACAAGGGGACCAAGCAAAGGCTTGGAACTCTTCGTAACCAACACTTCCACAAGATGAGCGACCACCCTGTAGAACTATCCCCTACCCTTCTGATCTATTCTTAGAGGAAGACCCCCCCATGTTAGCCTCACACAAGGCGGTTCTCAACACAGAACGCATGCTCATATCTGGACGAAGGCCCTCGGACCTCAGAGACTTTACCTCGTCAGACATCTCCCCTTATCGGGCTATATATCCCCAACGACCAAGCAAGCTAATAAACTACCCCCTCCCACTAAAACGAGAAGTCGGAAAAATTCACCCACATATATAATCGTCGAAACTTCCAACCTTTGTAAACCCGAACTCAACTCCACTGTGTTCTCTCAAAAAGATGATATAAAACAAACAAAAAGGGTTGAAAAAATTGATATTACTGTTCGTGAATGCCTTGCAAATGATGCAAAGATGAACCCCCATGGGGGGGCCTTCAGAATTGACAACAACAACAATCTTGCTACATATATTACACACAAAACGTAAAAGGGCTCATAACACCCCCGGACCTTTGAACCTAAGGTGTGGTATGATAACAATAATAAAAGTAATTCACATTTTCGGAACGACAGCTTCACATCGCCCCCCCTCTACACGGAATCACAGTCCTCGTCACTAGTTTGAGAAATTATGCACATGGTCAACTAAATGTGTTGGTGAATGTGAAAATTCTTATCACTTTCTGGGAATTTGTTCCTAGTTTCTCTACCCTTCTGTCAACTCCCTAACTCAGCCCCAAAAGACTGACATATATTCCCACACTGCAGCTGCATATGCGCTCTATGTGTAATTGTCCGTGACGATGTGGAAAATATGAGGAGCCTCATATTCAAAATTTTTGCCAAAACATTCTAGTAGGAGAAGTTACCTCTGCACACGTATTTTCGCTCACTACAGCATTTCCAGGTCAAATCTATTTTTCATCGACAAAATAAAATTTTCGCCCATTTCGTTAACATTTTACCGATAAATTTCACAAAGTACCAATAAAATTGGGGTTTCACCAGTCTTAAAACTCTGTGAAAAACGCGATGATATTCGCGGCCTGTAGTAGTCGTGAAATATGTTTTTCATATTACTAGGGTGAAACTCATGGTTTACTTCAAAGTTCTCAACCAACGACGGCGCAACATGGACGGCGCGCACTGTACATATAAAACTTCCCCCACAAAAATTGATTCCCGCTCACTTCCTTTCGCGCTCCCGTTCCGACTTGCCCTTATCAAGAGAGCTCGTCGCCGTTCGCAACGCTGCCGACACCACCTCAGTTGCCCCTGCGGCTGGACGTAGAATACAAAGAGGCACTCCTAAAAATACACAAACATGTCACGCTTCGCTCCGCTAATAACAACCATACAAAGGAATCTTAGGTTGATACATGTAAGATACGAAAATGGCCCAGACCAGTCCGCCACAGCAAATCAACCATCGAGAGAAATACAGGACACTTGGAAGAAATCAGTGGGAGCAACGTTCTCATTTTCACTTGAATTCTCAGCGTGAGATGATACCACACATGGTCAACTACCAACGTCGATGATATCGTGGAGATTTTGAGGGAATTCCCCATTGCTTTTTCTACCCGAATTCGTATGTGATTAATGAGCTCAGCTGAGGATACCGAATATATATTTCATCACCGCAAGTTCCTCTCAAAACCACATAATCATCCGATACGATGGGTAAAAACGTCAAAAACCACATAATCGTCCAATGGGTTAAAACGTCCCACCTCGTGCCATCGACACAACAACACTCTCCGTTGTAGCCCGACCATGAGCATACTCCTGTAATGGACCCATGAGGGCATCCTAAACCAACTGCTCCACATCCATACCACTCCTCCCCCAACTCACCCTTCCAGCGTTCTGAATTTCTCTCGACAATCGTTGAGTCACAAATTGAAGTTGTTCCACTCGGTCACTCGGTGCGAAAAGCCTATCTCGTACCGCTCCACGCTCAACTGATAACCACTCCTCCTCCTCATCGTCATCATCATAGTCGTCCTCAATCACAACAGAAGACGACAGCCGGTTTCCTCCGCTGGCCTCTGAGGAAGAGAAGGAATACACGTTCACTTTCCTCAGCTGAGCTCATTCATTTACACTTTTCTCGAATCGGCTACAAATGTACAAAAACCACTACAAATTTCCCAAAATTTTCATATTGCCAGTGTCACTATTTTCACAATGTATTTCACTTTGCGAACAACGCGTTAAACACATGTAATGTTTTACGTGATATAGTGCGATTCATCTCGCGTCATTCGCCGAACGTTTCCAACCTCGCACGAACACTGGCACCAATAGAGCACTCCCGAGCTCCCTACCTTTCTCATCAACATACTCCACTGCTGTCCATCCCAACGCCGCATGACTCGACGACGACGACGAAGAGGAAGAGGAAGTAGTAGACGCCCCACTGGTCCCCACCAACTGCGATGCTGTCTCCAGCACAGTCTGAGTGGTTGACACAGCTCTCTCGATTGACGTCAGAGATTCAACCTGATAGAAATCATTCGCTTCAGTGTTGGAGGCATATACGCTCGCTTTCCTCGGCTGAGCTCAGGAGTTTCCTCAGTAATCATATACGTGTATAAAAAGGACCGAGAATTTCCCAAAATTTTCATCAAATTTTCGAGGACACATGGAGTTGACCACGTGCATATTTTCCCACACATAAAAATTTTCACCCGTTTCACATGAACATGCGTAGAACTCTACGAAAAGCTCTATATTCGCGCTATGCGTTTGTGAATATTTTTCACTAGTGGCTTTCATATCAACGGGTGAAACTCAATTATAGTAGTTTTATATTCCGTAAAATTCCATCATCAACGAGCTCAGTAGACCATTTGCATATTTCCCTGCATACTCAACATAGGCGGAAAAAATCGGAAAATCGGAAAAAAATTTCCCGAAATTTCTCAACATCATAAGAACATAAAACCCGAGAAAAGTTACCGTCAAACACGTAGCGAATTCAGACAGTTGCCTCCACCACCCGAGCCGCCTCCCAGTCCTAGGGTCTCTAGCCACCGAATCGATCGGCGAGGCGTAGCGATATCTGCAAATGCTCCTACCATTACACTTGATTGTCACACATGTGATTACTGTAATAGGGGCAGAGATAGGAGCTCAGTGAGGCTACACGTGATGTTGGTGAGCGATCTTATAGGAGTCATTCGGCAAACCGACCTGACCGAAAAGCAAAAGGGTTCATTTTACTCATCAACGTAGTTTACGTTGCATTTAAGACTTACATCAGCATGGGAAAATACGCACTTGTGTCGGTGACGATATGAAAATTTTGGTAAAAAAATCTCACTGCATAACTGACGAAATCGTAAAGAGGATTGGCGCTCTCTCTCACAACACTAGCAGGGCAAATATTTTTTGTATCTTTAGCAATAGAGTTTCACCCTAGTGATATGAAAAACACTAGTGAAAAATATATTTCACGATTACTGCATATCACCGCGAATATCATCGCGTTTTCACCCAGTTTTACGCCACTTCACATAACACGGGTCGTGAAACTCCGATGTAATAACCTCTTCGATTCACCAAAAAAAGTAAATACAAATCAGAACTGAACGAAATCAGCAAATTTTGATCATCAGAAAATTCCCACAGGAAAAGGAAGAAAACGTCCAATTCAACTCCACTATAGCACGTCATCATCAACAACCACAAAAATGCGAACCTCATCAGTTATGAGAAAAACCAACAAACATTTCCAATCACCATTGGATTTTTCCACCAACAACACACCCGAATATATGTTCGCTCTCCTCAGCTAACTGTAAAATTACCATACAAATTCAATTAGAAAAATATTCACAAAATACCGAAAATTTCCCAAATTTTTCATGACCTTGTATACCTCAACATCTGCGCTTTCGACATATCTCCCTTCCATCGCTCAATCAGCGCCTCACTCAGCTGTGATGCACTACGAATACCCTGCAAATGGGTCGACCGAAACTTCACCTGCCGACTCACCAGCGTTGAGGAAATGCAAGATTGCAAGATTTCCCACCTCCAGGCCTTCCAAAATAGGCAACAGATTGATCAGCTCGGCTCGCTCTCCTCTACGGAGACGTTTCAAATTAACCCGTTTGCATCGGTAGTCAATGCACACGAGCATTTCCGAGATTTTCACAGAGTCCAACAGCACGCCGGGGGGCGCTGAAGGCTGTTGGTGAGCCGTCGAAGGAGCTGTAGGCTGCTGAAATAGGGAACACATTTGAAATCGATCACGTGATCGATTTGCCAATACATATACCGATTTCGAAGAAGTGTGGTAAGATAAGCACATCGTCAACTATGCGTGTAGATGACAATGAAAAAAATCAAGAAAATTTTGGAAAATTCTCGTCGGTTTTTTGCGTAAATTTTCATAATGTAGCTTCTGAGCTCAGCTGAGGAAACCCGACCAGCCAGGAAAATCGATCACGTGATCGATTTACCAATACCCACATCATCCATCCCCCCGCCTACCACAATTCCTTCAACTCCCCCCTCCTCAAACAACTCAGCATCCATGTCCATCGCAGCATACACGTACATATTCACAGTATCCGCCTAAATGATATCAACAACAACGATTTCCATCACCAACAACCACGTCGCCCTACGAAAGTATCCATCCAGTGTACTGTGTCCTGGTCCAGCGTGAGGCGAAGTGGCAATATAGAGATCTCCAATCTGGAGTGGGCGATGTGGGTGCCCTCCCTGTTATGACCCCCCGGGGAGCTGTCGTATCGTAGGAGCACCTGCTCGAGAGTGACATATCACAAAATCTTCCCCGTGCGCTACTGCGCACGCGTGCTAAAGATTCCCTTTCCGGAGTCTCTTGCCGAAGAATTTCTCACAATGGGAAAATATTTTTCAGCGATAATTTACCAACGCTATCGCGAGTTTCCACTTCGCAAATTTTCGACAAGCACCAAAAGTTGCGTTTCAAACGTATTTTCCACTCTCATAGAAAATACGCAGACGCCTCACAAAGTTATATCTTGACAATTACTCCCTTAGATTCGCCCCTCATCTCAAAAAATTCCCATAAATTCACTTCTTTTTTCGAAAAATTTCCTGAAATTCACCCCTAATTTCAGAAAAATTCACATATGATCTCAAATAGTCCCTACCATAGACACGTTCGTCCCTTTCGGCCGATCTCCTTCGCTTCCCTCATAGTAAACCAACACATATTGATAAACACTGCTCGGCAGGAGGTCAAGGATGCTGATGTCTCCAATGGACAACCAAACCGAACTCTGACGACCACCCACTGTTGACGGCGATGTTGGTTTCGTTATCATGGTGATGCCAACCTGATGCGTTGAGGAAATGCAAGATTCACTAAGATTTCAAGTCACCACTCACCTCCTCCAATTTGGTACAAATCGTAGCTCTCTTCGCTCTGGTTGATATCCGAATTTGGTTCGAAGTGGACATGATTGGTATCTTACCTGGGCAACCTCAAGATACCCCACCACCTAACCCCCATCCTCTTCTACTCGGCCTTTCACTCCA